ACCAAATTCAAAACTTTTCTTCTCACTTTTGTTAGAGTTGATCACACTACATCAGGCTCTTAATGCCACATCTTTGATCTGTGCATCACCCCATTTCATGCTCTCCTCCTGGCCTCATGCACCCTCCATCTTGAGTCCTTCATGGAAAGACAGGTCCTGCTGCTGCCCAAGAAAAGACAGAAGTCCCTTACCACTTTAAGCATTACTGTTTGAGACAGGGAATTGCACTTGTGTGCCAAATACAGAAATTCCTCCTCTCTAAAGAATACTTTAATCAGAGGCTGCAAGGCAATTCTTTTTTTTTTTTTTTTTTTTTTTTAATAATGAAGAAAAAGTAATCACTGATTTTCCGTACTCTGCATCTTTAAGGAAAAGGAACTCTAATGTACAACTTGGTAGGACTCCAGGCACAAGAGGAAATGGGTTATAGCAGTTGTGACTGTGCAGAGCAGATGTTTTGGTTGGCCTGGCTATCAACCATCTGACTCATAATAAATTGTCAGTTCCAGTAAATTCCCAGTTTTCAATTACAGTAGGTAGGATATGAGAAAACAATGCCGTTTGGATAGTGTATTTAAAGTGGTTTTGATGATAATTTTCATAAACAACTCCTACTAACTTTGTAAAAATATTAAGGATCTTGGAAAGGCAGAAGCTGTAAACATTGAAACATACATTTGAATGTAAATTGAGATTAATAGAAATGAAAACTAACCAATGGTTGTTAACATAGTGCTGATACAATTGGAAATAGAATTTTAAGTTTTTCTTTGGAGTTTTGTCATACTCAAAGTCCTTTCATGAGGTATATGGGAGAAAAATTTCTCAATGCCTTCAGACTTCCATTTTCATCTCTTCTGTTCTTCATTTATATTTTAACATGGTCTCTTGATCTTGAGTTTTGAAAATGCATACTTAATGTTCCTTTCCTCTGCAATGGCTAAGTAGAAAAATGGTGAATTAAAATCAAATACCATGAGTTTTCTGTTTATGAAAATTTGTATTTGTTTTTGTAAATTGTTGCTAGGTTTCTGTAATAGAAAAAAAAGCCTCTGGGTTGAAAATGTCTAGATTTTTTTTGTTGTTCATTTTCAGAAATAAGGAAAATATTTTGTTTAAAAAAGACAGTAGCAAAGTGACAGAAAATGCTATGAAAATCTTTGTTGGATCTTTTCATTGCAATGTTCTAGAGGCTCTTTTTTTTACTATCAGACATGAGACTGTTGTGGAAAAATTAATAGGTGTGCATTATCACATGTTTAACTAATGATCTCAAGCATTTTTACATTCAGTTTTTAAACCTCTAAATTCCTGTGGCCTGGGATGGGTTCTCTGTTCAGTTAGAAGGTCATTTTAAGAATGCCTTCTGTAGAGTCCTGTGTAGAAAAAGTTCTGCGAGTATAAAATGGCACTTTTATTATGGCAGTTGTAATCTTGAAATTTAACATTCATAGAAAATTGCCATTCTGCATTCTGACAAATTCAGTTTTTCTTGAATATAAAATTAATTTGTTTAATAAAAGCATCTATCATGTTGTAAATTACATACAAATTATAAGGAGAAAAAGCATGGGTGCTTAAATACTGAAAAATGAGATGTGACTTTAGTTCAGCAGCCTCTTTTTTTCTTTCTTTTTTTTTTTTTTCCTGAAAGGGTATAATACTGCCAAAGCAGTTGGATGTCACTCTATCTTTTGAAGCCAGCTGAAAAACAATAATTGAGGTGACTTTTACTTTGCTGCTCTATTCAGATCTGGTCTTTTCTTTGATATAAATACATGTGCAGAAATGGGAAAAGGGAAGATGCTCTCTGTGCAGGGTTTGATAAGAAGCATTTAAACAGAGTTTGCCTTTGGACACTGTGGTGTAATGAAAAGATCTCAGCCCCTGTTCTGGGCAAATGGCATGGCCTGGTAGTAGAAGGTTCCATCTTCTCACCTGATCACTTTGAGGTTTCTATAGATGGCTGGGACAGAGATCACTGAAGGGGTTAAGTTGTAACTGGCACAGACAACATCAAAAAAGTTTATTAGCTGAAAAGTTTTCCACAGTTTATCTGTAAGACATGTGGTTTTGGTTTGGTTTTATAAACGGCAGTTCTAACAGATATACCAGTGTCAAATGCAGTTCTAGCAAGCAAGTTCTTCCATAAATAAAAGTCTTCCAAAACAAAGCCTGAAAGGAATAAATGGTACGGTGTCAGATAGAAGGGAGTTTATGGTAAATCTGTGGCCACCTGAACAATAAGGTTGAGCAGCTTCATGGTGTTACTGCTTTGTGTCTTTTATAACCTACAGGAATGCTGGTTTTGGATTTTGAGTCTTTTTTAAGTAACAAGTTTTCATTTCTCAGGGCTGAAAATACACATCCATTTGAAAAGTGGTAGTTATAGAAGAATGCCAATTTATTTACGTGGATTTGCATTGGACAGTAGCTGTATGAACATAACGGTGCTCTGCTGGCAGCAGGAGTTGCAGTCATGTTTGTTGTGTGTATTTTTGTAAATGGAAAAATATCATGTCTCAATTTATTGCTCTTAGTACACATTTCATTTTACATACATTTTGCATGCTTTGCTCAGCATGCCAAGATACAGAGGTGATTTATGTGGTTGTATGGGTTTTCCCCCCTGGTACAAGTGTTCATATGATGTTCACTAGTGAGCACAGAAAATATAATGAAATATTACTCTGTATGTTAATGGATGTTGTAGTAACATTCACCTAATCTGTTTTGGAGCTGGGTTTTTCTGTTTCCTTGTTTTGACTTTGTTTAATCAGTAAGTACCTGATAGCAGAAACTGGTCTTACACGTGGTGTCAGGCTGTGTGTGCACATCTACTTTTAGCACTTACCATTAATGCAAGACTAAAGAGGGGTTTACTGTCTGATTCAGCACTACAGGTGGGGTCTCAGCAGAGCAGAGTAGGAGGGCAGAATCCCCTCCCTCATCTCACTGGCAACACTGCCTTAGATCTGGCCCAGGATACAGTTGGCTTTCTGGGCTGCAAGTGCACGTCACAGGGTTACATTGAGCTTCTCATCAGCCTAACCATTTTAGGTACCTGTCATCTCTTGAAGAATGCCCATTAAAATGAAATCTTTTTAATTGTTATTAGCATTAAAAGCATTGCTGTTCAATCTCTCTTAATAGTTCTTTTCATTTGATTGACAATTAGCAAATTAATGGGAAAAAGCCAGTTAATGCTACAGTCAGCTTCAGGATTGAAAGCTGTTCTTTATTTAATTTTTTTCCTTAATGATGGAAATACATGAAATACTGGGGAAAAGGTCAGGGTAGATTGTGTGCTTGGGTATATTTTGTAGTTATTTGTCTTGTTGATAAAGGTTTTGTAATCTGTAATATTTTCTCTAGTCCAGATGATAATACCCCTTAAAAACAACATTTAAGGGAACATTTTGGTTCACAAGATCCTATCCATTGCTGTTACAGGCAACCACATCCCATAATGCTATCCATAAACTGATCACAGCAGGACAACAGCTATTGTTTGTGCTTACCACTCATATGGAGTGTTGTCCTGCGACTTAGGGTTAAAACCATGCTCTGATTTCCAGCCACAATGTGCTCGTGACCATTTTATGGGCAGTTCTAAGAATACAATTTTCTTTCATCTGTCAGAAGTGAGCTGCACACCAAGGCAGAATTTAAGAAAACATTGTCAGTTCTGTCTCATTTTTCATCTAAGACAATTAGGCTTTTTAAAGACCCATTCTTCCCTGCAGCTTATCACTAAGTTTCTTGGCATGTAGCGTTCTGCACGTAATAGCTGGTACACAGCTCGTCTCTCTGGACATTAGCAGCTCCTGTCCTGCCAGAGCTTCAAATGGCACGAGATTGCCTTCCTGAAACCACTCAGCAGTCACTTAATTTTTTTTCTTCCCATATAGGGCAGGGCCTCCTAAGAATATTTAAGTGGTTTGCCTGTTCCTTCCTCACAGCTGCCTGTAAGACAGAGCATACCAGGGCACTCTGCACCATGTTGATCCTACTTTGAGTACATATCTTATTTCCTCTCCTATTTTTCCAAAACACATAAGAACAAAGGCATCTTGGCAAGTTGCTATGTACATGTGAACAAATACGTTGAAAGATTTATTTGTGACCAGAAAGTGGCACCATATTATTTGCTGTCAGTGAAGGTGACTGTGCTGCTAACTCATTACTTTCTAACTAGAGGTCAAGAGCTTAAATGAAGTTATGCATGGCAGCAATACATTTGTTGGTACTGTCTGTGATTTATGAATTGGAGGGATGTAAGGTCCTAACCAGAAACAATTTGTTCTAGATGACCCCAAAGCTGTAACTGATTGTCCTGATATAAAGAAAGCCTCAGCTGTGAATACATTAAGATTAACTTGTATTTAGCATGGTTTTTTTTTCCCCTACAATACTTTCCTGGAGTCTGCAGACTTTGCTGAAAGTAATGCATAGGTTTAATTTGCAGGAAACTGGGAGACAGTGACTTCTAGATATAAATTTCTAATTGCAAAAATGTTTTTATCCACAACAGGAGTTTAATACAATACACTAGAAAGTTTGAATCATAAACTACTTTGAAAAATAACAAATACAGAATTTGTGGTCATAACTCAGTGATATTACAACATTGTAAAAAATCCTTTGACATTTGCATCTGATGTCAAGCCAGGAATTCCTAAAAATGAAATCTGTATCTTTGCTGAAGTTTGTAGTTCACTGAATTGAAGAACTACAGTACTGTATACTTCATAACTCAGTGGTTTTATTTTGATACATTAAAGGAAATCAAGCAGATAAAAATGTTTATTTAAAGTCCCAATTTAAAGTGCCAATATAAGAAAAAAAATTTTGCAACCTGTTTTGCAATGGTTGCAGTTTAGATTCCTCACTTAAGCATCTCCTAAATAAATTCATATTTGACTTACTAGTTCTTACCTGTAAGCTTTTAAATAATTCGGTTTGTTATTTACCATTTTATATTGCTTTTCTGTGTACAGGATGTGAACGAAGACCCTGGAGAAGATGTTGCACTTCTCTCCGTTAGTTTTGAGGATGCAGAAGCTACTCAGGTTTTTCCTAAGCTGTACCTCTCCCCTCGTATTGAACAGTGAGTGAGAGGTTTTTTCTTTAATGTTTATTCTACTTCATCTTGGCACTTTTCCAGTTTTTCCTGATATGTGTGATAACATACTATTGTATGATACACTATTATATAATACTATATAATATATAATAGTATGTATTATTTAGTAATGTAATACTAATATACGATTGCTTTAAATTGCCTAAAGTTATAGTGGTTACTTTGAGTGTGTGTGTGGTGGAGAAATGACAGATCTTTTCTCAGTTAGTTCTGTTCATGTGTGATACTTTTGTAGCATCACAACCTCTAAAAAACATGTTTGTCTTTGTGGCAGTATATTTTGAACATCTTCTATGGTACAATATTGTGATAACTTTTGTGGGGGGAATCTTTAAATTTTTTTTTCTTTTGAGAAGGTAAGTTCCCTATATAAACATAATACATTTGAATAAATGATTGTTGTAGAAGCTAAAGGGCTTGGTTAACTATGATTTTGGAATTTGCAGCTTAAGTAAATTATTTCTTTTCAGGAGAATATGGGAATATTTCATTTTAGGAGCTTTGAACCTTACTGATCCATTTACCAGTTGGCAAATTTGCTGAGAAAGGGATTTTTACTCCTAAAACAGAAGACTGGGAACTCAAATTCAATCTGTTTTCATTAAATTTCTTTTCTTCCCTTTCTGAAATTGAAAATGCTTTAATATTTATCCTTGTCTTCAGTATCTCAGTCTTGTAATGCTTAAAAAAATAACTATGTCAGACTTTTCAGGTATACCACATTCAAACTGGTATACCATTGTTTCAGTGATGTGTTGTTTTTTTGCTAATGGAGCCCTTGACTTTCCTCTGAACTGGTGATGATTGTTCTCTGTAGAGGAAAGATGGGAAATACTGACTACCACAGTTTTATAATAACCTGGGGAGAAAGTTTGTGTCAGTGAAGAAACGTAGTATCTTGACATTTTTGATCAACAGAGTATTGATCTGGATAAACTCTTGGATGCAGTTTAGAAAATAAAAACCTGGATTTGACTTAGATAAAGACATAAGACTTCCAAGATACTTTGAGAAAATGTAGGTGACATGTGCATGTGCAAACACACAGATAATGTATTTAGTAGCTTTCACATTTTCATACTTTTCATCAATTCGTTCCTTTTTGTCAGCATCAGCTAAGGAAATAATTGTCATCAAATATGTAATTATCCTTCTATGTTCCAGAGGATTCTTATTCTGAACTCTTAAAAGTAAATGGGCTACCATTAGTTTCCATTGTATTTCCAGCTGCAGTCACATGTTGATGGTTGAGTATGTTTCAGGCCACCCAGGTATATCTGTCTAAATCATCCACAAGCTAATGAATATGTTGCATATTTTCCCACTTTCAGCAGTATCTTTAGAAAGATGTTAACCTCTTGATACCTAGCAGAATAGCAATACAAAGGAAGTCTTTGTCTTCCTAAAAGTATTGCATTTTCTCTCAGTGCCCTAAAGAGCATCTGATTTTAGATGTGTGATTTAGAGCGATACAGCAGAAAGATACTTGAGTGGTATTGGTATATATCTGACACTGTGCTGTATTTATGGCTTTTGTCATTTATAGCTGATGCAGTTATGTTAAAATGATGCCAGTAAACCCTGGAGTTCTGTGCCACACCTTGTCACGTTATCTGTGTGTTGAGGTTGAGATACTTAACTCATCTCAGTCAATCTGTTTTTCTGCATTTGTAACATTTCATCATTTGTAACATACATCACAGTATCCAGGTACTGATAATACATAATTACTGAAGTTGCTTGTGAGCTGCTGCACCTCCCTTTATGCCACTGGCGACTTCTTATGTGCCATGAAAAAATGTATGGGTGTGTTTCCAGTGTTTGTGAAATTGTACTTTAATAGCAAACATTCAGTTCTCTCTTGTTCTTTCCCAAAACCAATCTCTGCTGTGTTTAGCAGGGCCTGACAGTCTAGATATTTAACTTCCCAGTGTTTGGGAACTGAAGCAACAATGTGTACTTCTTTATACTTTTTGCCAAAAGTATAAAAAGCCTCAAGAAGCCCTCAGGATTAGTATAATGACTTGAGGCCATGGCATGTTACATTTGAATTGTGTTCTGCTTATAAAGGTCTTTCCTGCTGCTCACAGTAATTGGATCTACAAAAGCCATGTAAGCAAATTACCAGTGTTTTTGTTCTATGCAGCAGATTTTGAGATGTTCCAAGTAATAGTTGATAGTTCCCAACATAACAGTCACAAGAACTCAACAGAACATGAAAAATACCAAATTCCCACAATTATTTTGCTAACACTAAAATGTATTCACATTAGGAAGAATGAGCAAACAGGAATAGCATTTTCCTGACATATGAAATAACATTTCAGGTTTGTGGAGCAATAAGAGGAAAAGGGTCTGTTTGTGTAAAGTGAGTTATCTCCTGCTTTCCCAGGAGGTTTCATTGCTCTTGTGCTCTCCATATAAACACACATTCCTGCATTGCCCTTTCTAAAAATGATGCATACCCACAGATCTTGTCAGCAAATTTGAGTCCTAGAAATGTGAATATTAAACCATTTGTCTTCGGAGAATTTCGTTCTGATTGTGATCTGCATATTAGTGTTCTGTCTTCAGACTTTTTCTATATTATTATTTAAAACTATTAAGAAAACTTCAGCTACTGTTTAATGCTTGCTTCCAAATGGCCAAAAAAAAGGTTTTTTGCTTTGAAGGGTTTCTGTAAAGCACATTTGCTCTATTTTTTTTTAAATTGATAGTAGACATAATGATACTAAGACTTTGACTGCACTTTGTCATAGACTGTAAGAGAGATTTCCAAAATCAGGGAAATGTCCACCTTTTAGGTTTGGGGTGAAGATGTTAATGCACTGGTTGGCTTGAAAAGGTTCACATATTGAAGCAGCAGGTAGAAATGCAGTAGAGAAGAGTTGTGGATCATCCAAGTCAATAATGATGCTTTATTGACTTGTATGGTGTGATGTCTGGCTGCAAGATTGTTAAGTGCAGTTCTAACAATCAACTAACCAAACCCATATTTATGGATGGGAATTACTCATATTAATTTATAAAAATCTCATCAATAACTATTCATAACAATACCTGGTTTCATTCTTTCATTAAAACATGCTAATTTGAAAAGTTCATTTCTATACTATTTCTTCCAAACACATTAACAGCAACTTTTAAGGTCTCCTACATTTGAAATCAGTCACTCAAAAAGCTTACATTCCATAGAGTTAATAATTTTGACTTCTTATTGCATTACATCAATAAACAGATGCCAGTAACAGTTACTTTCAATTATTTCAAAATTAGACCAAAATAAAATTAAACATGAGATATTTATGAGATGTATTTGTTTTTTAAAAGCTACTATCTTTACTGTAGTATCACAGAAAACAGTTTCTGCACACTTCTGTAGGAAGTGGTAAGCTGAGAAACCACACAGACTGACCACACAACTTGAGAGACTGGTGCTTGTCAGCATCCATGAGTGTGTCCCCAGCTCATCCTTCCCTTCCTCCCACCTCAGGGTGGGGGACTTGTCTTGGGATGCTCTCCATCCTCTGCTGTGAGCTGCTGTGCTTTGGGAAGAGGGTCATACAGCTGAGCTAGGTAGGCACAGCCATGCTCTAAGGCATGATAAGGACCTGCTGGGATATTTACCCTTTATGTCTCTGATGCATTTGCATGAGTTGTTCACAGTGGCTCTGAACCTGTTGGTAGAAAGCATCTTGTTCAAAATTGCCTTTCTAGTGAAAGTATACTAGATACTTGTATGGTATGGAAATTTGTAATAAAACTGCCCATCATATCTTTGTTGCCCATTTATTAAAAGTCATTAGACTCTAAATCCAAAGAATCAGTTCAGGGTTGAACAGCTGATTTCTATATTAATGCTTAAAAGTTTGTGTCAGCATACTACACATGAATGTGGATCAGAAGGTTTTGGGCTTTTTTCTTAAGAGAAAAAAATTTGATGTATGTAATTTTTTTTTCCTTTGTGAGTCATCCATGCTAAAGAACATAAAAATGGGTTCATCTTGGTTCACATTTTAAGAAAAAACTATATTAGGGTAGAAAGGCTGTTGCTCAGTGAATGCTGTGTTCCCTGTGTTCACAGAAATAATCCTGCAATAAACACTGTTGTCCTGGAGGGCTTTTCTCTGATAAATATGCAGACGTGAATATGCTAAGAAAACCAGCTGTCAGTAGAAGTTGTTTTGCTTAAATGGATCAGGCTCCATGCTTTGGGGACTGAAATGGTCGTTTTTTACTGGTCTGGGAGCTGTGCCAGAGGGTTCTTTGTGACTGAGGGTGTTATGCAGAGTTTGGTGACTGCGTTTAACCTTCCCATACAGGCAGGGGAGAGTAACAAGAACCTGATCTGAACTCTTTGGTTCTGAATGTTCCTGTACGTTTTTCACTAATGGAAGAAAAAAATTTAAGAGAAAATGAAACATATGTTTGCTTTGAGGTATTTCCTGTCTGTTACCTGTGCTTTCTGCTGGGAGTTGGAAGAAGAAAACTATAGAATATTACCCATTTACTGCCAAGTACTGCCTCTTGCTCTGTTTGACACACAGGGGAGCTGTGAAGGGCTTCACCTCTGAAGTTGGCATGCCATGCTGCTTCCAGTAGAAGCTTGCTGTTTCAGACAGCTTATGGATACACAGTCATTAAATGAATGGTTGTGCTTAGGCCTTTTTATATGTCTGCTTTGTAGAAGTCAGGAGATCTTCAATTTGGCATATTAAAATGTGATTATTATTGTGAATTGATGATTTCAGTAGAATTGTTTGTAGTCATCCACGGCAGTCCATGGCTTCTTCAAATCCCATAGCATCTTTTCAGAGGTGGGAAGCGGAAGGAATAGTAGTTGCTGTGCAGAGCTTCCTGTTCCATTGGGCTTTGTTTGGTCAGTGCCTGGCCAGTGCAATAGACATTTACATTTACTGCCTGCTGTGTGCTATGCCCCCATCAGCCAAGGCTTCAGAAACTAT